ATATATATATATATATATATATATATATATATAAATAAATATGTATATATTTATATTCATATTTATATGCTATGGACTACACTATTATTACAATCAAGGACATTAATGAATTTATTGAGGAAAGGAAAATTTGCCAGGAACATGCTTTTTATTCAAAGACAGAGCTTTATTAGAAGAAACACAAACACACAACTATGTACAAATCTGCCCACACAACAAACGGGAAGCTCAGGAGAAGGCCAAAATCCTACAGCACCGTGAAGTGTCTGTCTGCTGCCTCGAAGCTGTAGGTAACTGGTGGCATTTTGTCCGAATTTGGTCCATTTTGCAGACGTCTGTGGTGCGTTCCCCTGTACTTGGGAATTGCCTCTAATCTCGACTGCAGCGAGGCACAGAGCTCGGTGAGCTCCTGGCTACGAAAGACTGGAGGTCGCACAATCCATCCAGACACCCCACCAGCGATGCCGTCTTCTTCATTGGACATTAGGTCTATGGTGGCGCACTTCCAAAGGTCCACCTCGTCATCGGCAAGTACACTCTGTCTTGCTTCCAGCAGCTGTAAAAACATCAATAAAGACAATCAGTACTGTGCGATGCACTGCGTATGGACACAACACATCTGTTAATGCACCTGAAAAATAGCCTCTTTAACTCCCCTCAGACCGGCGTCCACACTCCCTCCCTCCTCTGTTAAATGGCATCTCACAGGCGCACTACGTCATCAAACCATGTGATGTTTGGTATCACTGGATTCAGGAAGCTCTCGGCTTCCTGAATCCGGCATCGTTTTTCTTTTATTCCTTATGGGTTTCGCATCAGAGCAGCCTAAATACACGAAGTCCAAAATCGCGATGAGTGGTGACAAGCCATGTCATGCCGTTTTTCGAGGGGAAAAGTTATTACTCACGATCTCATGCCGAGCCGTCAATGGACATGTAGCTGGTTTATAAAAGGTAAGAGTCTCACTCCTACCACTATTTTTGGCTGAGATATACCATCTAGAAAGTGGGATCACAACTTTGACGTTTCATATGGCTTTATTTGGTGATATTTTATGGTGTTTCTGTCATAAACAACATCAGCTATCATAATCACACCTGATTTCAATAAGGTACGATGTTTGAAGCTGGCTGAGTGTTGTTCGATCACTGACAGTTCTGTTTTGAAGCAGAGTGAGCGCTCTTGTCATGTGGAGCTCCGCCTGGATCTTTTCATGGTAAAAACACTGTAGAATGGTCATACTTTGAGCAGTCTTCTTCAAATTTGAAACAAGTGTTCATTGATAGTGTGCCTACAGCCCCACAGTGTCATTTACTTGTTCAGATGAAGCCACAGATAGTTATTCATCCTGAAATACATTTTTTATTTTATTTTAGGCAAAATCTTCAACTTTTTACTGACTTCAGAGGCCCATTACTCTGTCTCTGTATCACCTAGAGTGTTTCTGAGACTTTCATAAGAAACTTCAGAGAGTTTGCTTTCTGGCAAGACCTCATGCATGCATGTAGTCAGAGCGGTTCAGAGGCTACAGTCATTTTAATTTGGGTATGTCATTTTAGGCGTTTTTGCTACAAAATGGGGGTGGAGTGCAAGAGGATAGTCACACTGACCAAAAACGGATCTAATCTAATAAGTCTTACCCTCTTTCTTCTCGATCGACTCCGAGCTGAACTCTTCACAGTTTCCGCCTGCGATGCGAGATCTGGCTGTCTGTACCTGAAGCTCCTGCATACTGTCTCATAGTATGTCTTACAGGCAGCTGGAAAACAATTAAATGAGAGTGGTATGAATAAAAAAACATAAGTCACAGTAAAACTAAACAAGGAAGGAACAGGAACAAAACAGTTAAAGTTACTTACACACAATGGCGTCACTAACAGCGTCATGTAAATCTGGACTTGCTGACATAGCTCCGAGCAAATAGGAGGTCACGGCCTCGTTATGAGGCGAGGTTAGTCTGTGAAAACAAAATAAACGGTTAAGCTCTGTATCTATTAACGTATCTATTTCCTTATACAGCAGAATGAAAGCATATTCTTTAAATCTTACGCTTGCTCCGGTTCGTAGCGCCTACAATTTGTCTCCGAGTTGTGAAGACAGCGTACTGCTTCCTGTAAATTACAAGACCAAAAACATACACTTTTACAGCTTACACTGGTTCTGCTCACTTGTTCTTTTACAAGGCTACTAGGCTACTTATAG